CTTAATTTTCTCTATTATCAGGCTAACTACATTATTTCATGTTATTACTTTTTTCATGGTATACCAGTAATACAACAATGCGCTAGATAAATAAGTGTTCTTTGCTAACACTAAAGGGGCTAATTATGAGGACTCGGGGGTTTCTTTGAAATTGAAGACTAATATGACATATTTTTAAAAATGAGAAAATAATATTTAAATTAAGTGCAATAATAGGAGTCAGCCAGGCAAGGTATAAGGAAAAGAAGGTGAGCAGTGATAAGCCGTGATGGAAAAGACCACATGCCCAAAGTTGACTGATGGGCTCATGACAAAGAAGGGAAGTAGAGTAGGTGGGCAAGACCACCGAGGCTCAGCTGGTATGGACTAGGAGTTTGGACTCATGTTATAAATAATAGGATCCTTTGTAGGATTTTTATCCCAACAGTTACATTACATGACTGAAGTAACAATTTCAAGATTTTTCTCTCTAGCTGGCATCAGAAGAAGTCACAAACAATGTGATAAAAAAAGAAACAAGTTAATAGAACCATCACTGAGAGTCCTCAAATGGTGACAGTGATTGAATGGCGGCAGGGAAAAAGAATGAGGAGAAAACACGTATTCAACAAAATGCATGACTCTGTGTGTACATGTGTGAAAATGAACATATTTGAAAGATTGTTTATGTTACAAATCAAAGTATAATAACTTAATGGTTTCTGTTGAAATTTTTAGAAAAAGTGATAAAAAGTATAGTGATTAGCAAAAAAAAGCTAATATGAAAAATAAAATAGGATGCAAAATAATGATATTTCTCAATGGAAGGACTAAAGGAGGAACAGGAAAAGCATACAAACACCAATAAAAAGAAACTCATTTAGTGGGCTCACCATAACAATAATCATATTAAATGTAAGTGGAATAAGTATTCTAACTAAAAGATTTGGATTTGCTAGACTAAATAAGAAAAAAGTTCTAAGTGTATGCATAAACATATAAAAATAAACATTTATAAGAAAGAACTGGCACATTAGAGAGGGTTTAGAAGCAAAGCAATTATGGTTAAAACTCTTGACTATTGGAAACTGCTTCTAAGACTTTACTCATTTACAGAGGAATAGATCAAAATTATCTGTATGGTGTGATTGTTATGGTAGTGACGAAACAAGTAAAACCACATCAGGGACAATTGAAAATGATCAATAAACAATGTTTTAACTAAAAACTCTGATGTATTTTGAAGTTTTGATATGGTGAAGTGCATGCATGTTTAAGGCTTTTGAGGGGGGTGACTGTTGATTTTGTCATAAAACAAACCTTCCAGTTTCCAAGACTATTTTAGATTTGTAGCAGTCACACAAAATATTGTATGTCTAGTGTTTGAAAGAGAATGCTCTCCACATTTCTATTTTCTCCCCTGTCAATTCTTTACAACTGCTTCTTACCTAATACATTGAAATTAAAATTTCCTCCAGATTTTACAAAGTGCCCAATTTTATTTTTTTTTTCTTGAGAGGTATTTGTCTTTCTCCCACAAATTCTCTTGATCTGCAAAAGAGAATTCTGTGTAGAGGAGTGTGAGCAGAAATCCCTCAATTTAGTTGTCTACTTTGTCTCCATCAGCATATGACATTGCACCAATGTAACTTCCTCCATTCTGTCACAGTGGGCAAAGCTTAGCCTTCCTGGATTCTTTTAGCATAGCAGAATGTTCCTTCTGAACTGAAAAGCAGTGAACTGGTCCACCATTGCTGTAGAGGTGATTGCCAGAAATTCCTCAGGTCTTAACGGTGACAATGACTTCCCTATTTCTTTTCTTACAGACTTAAACGCTCGCTGGCTTTTCTGTCAGCAAAGCCATAGCCACAGCTCTATTTTAAAGTCATATGACACATCATTTTAACAACTGATCTTCCCTTACAGAGTTTTTTAAAAGCATCATCACAGGTTTTAAATTCCTATGCACAATAGATGGTGAGATCTGCTTCATTCATTATACAATTGTAAGGAAGGAATCATGACTCAGCGCAGTTAAGTACTCTTCAAATGCTCTAACTTTGTAAGTAGTTCAGACAGAATCAAAATCAAAGTACTCTTACTAAATACTACATTTTGCTATATATTATAATACTTAATGTGATCAATTTCATTAAATATAATTATTAGTTTTGGTGTGTTTGAATGTTCTTCTAAACAGTACCTGCTATCAAAACTATATAGAAAATATTTTTTCCAATACGTGAGAGTCAGTACTAAGAACAAGTAACATTTAAAGAAATGTGAGAATGCACAAAAAGTTTATTAAATAATTACTTAGAGATAGGACAATGATTGCAAAGTTTCTTTAAGTTTACCCAGGTAGATGTTGAAATAAAGACCAAACATTTTACCGTTGTTGTGTTTTATCTGCTGAACAGTACTTTAAAAATTTCCTAAATAACGTTTACAACCTAGAATAAAAGGTATGTAAACATAACTCGTAATGACTTGAGTAAAGGAGGTTGTGATAAGAAAAATGTGTTTCATGGACTCGTTAACTTATCAAAACTCACTTTGATCAGGAACAGCATGGATTCACAATATATTTAGAAAAACAACTTAACTGTTCATAGTTCAGCAACATAATCATGACTATAACAAAAAAGTAAAAATATGAGGCAGTACTTTAGTGTGGAAAATTTCTACTTAATTTAAAATGTTCTTACTTGCCTAACTCCTTGGCTATTCCTTTAAATTAACATAGGAGAGTTATTCATTCACCAAAAATTAACTGCTTTATGTCAAGAGGCTTTGTCACTATCATCTTAGTATAGTGTGGTATTCTGAAACACCTGTCATGGCTAATCTTGGGCACCAATATAGAAAGCTAGAAAGGGGTGACATCCCTGTTGTCAGACAGAGCTCAAGGGGGATCCAGAAGCACATGGAAATGTCTTAAAGGTGTGTTCATTTCATTAGCATTACTGAGCCAACTCGAAATAGATCGTAAGAAATCACATGAAAACACAATTTAGCATGCGTGTGTCTATTTGCATATGTGCTTGTATGTGTAAGACTTTTCAATGTTAATATCTTTTTTCAAGTTTCAAGATCATTAAATAAATTAAAATACAATTTTGCGTATAACAAGGAATTCAGAGACTTTAGAAAATATAATTTAGTTTTTATATGTATTTTTATTATAAGTTAACAAGAAATATTATTTTATATTTCTGCATACTTATACTTTCCTGAGGATAAAAATATACAAAATTAGTAATAAAGGACAGATTTTGAAAGCAAAAAAATAATTGAGTGGAAAATGTTCTAAATAGATTTGCTCCCAGGAGAACGTTTCAAAGGAAGGTAAGTTAGAATTTATATTTACATTTCAAAATAAAGGCTCAGAATCACTGAGAGGAAAAGTCCAAACCTGATATGCTCTGACATCCAAACGTAATTATCAAAAAGCTTCAGATTTTTGATCTTCAGATTTAGATGACTACAGGTTTTTATTGTCAAATTAGGAATTCTTAACCACAGAACTCTACATGAACTCTATATAAATATTTTCAAATCTTAAATACTTAATATTCTATAATGTTAAAAAAAAAACAAGGCAAAAGCATACAAACAAAAAAACTCAGGACATTGGTTACACACAACTTTAATCCCAGCACACGGGAGGCAGAGGGAAGCAGATCGCTGTGAGTTCAAAGCCAGCATGGTCTACAAGAGCTAGTTCAAGGACAGCCTCCAAAGCTACAGAGAAACTGTTTTGAAAAGAAAAAAAATTCTATAATATTTTGATCTTGAGCTTTTTGGATAAAACATTCTCAACCTATGCTTGTGAATAGTAGAAAAAGTGTACCTCCCTCCTCAGAAGGATAACAGAACAGCTACAAAAAACTGCTAAGTGAATATTCATACTCAGCATTTCAGGGTTGTTTTCCAGTAGTGTAAAATTTTCTTATTGGTATCTGCAAGTACTACCAGTTCTCATTCGTTAACAAATGAAATTGCAGGTACCTTCACTGCAGAAGCCATGGCTGCAGGTACCATCACTGCAGGACACATCACTGCAATCACCACTTACAAAAACATTACTGCAGATATAACCACTGAAGATATAATCACTGTACGTACCATCATTGCAGGTATAATCAAGGCATGTACCATCATTGCAGGTAGCATTGCTGCAGGAATAACCACTGCAGGAGCCATCACTTACAGGACACATCACTGCAACCACCACTTACAAAAAACATCACTGCAGGAACCATCACTGCATTTACCATCACTGTAGGAACCACCACTTACAGAAACCATCACTGCAGGAGCCATCATCACTTACAGGAATCATCACTGCAGGAACCATCACTACAGTTATAATCACTGCATGTACCATCACGGCAGATACAATCACTGCATGTAATATCATTGCAGGAGCCACTGCTCTAGGTACTATCTCTGCAGGAATTATCACTGAAGGTACCATCACTGCTGGTCTTTGCACGCACTATTGCTCTCAGGGAATGAGTACAGCATGAGCGATTTCATACAGTTACTGCACTACAAAGTGGTTTCTATTCGTATTTAGAAATGCTGCACCTCTTTAAAGGACATAGTAAATGTAGCTTTAAAAGCATATTTATTGCTGGGCAGTGGTGGAACACACCTTTAATCCCAGCACTTGGAAGGCAGAGGCAGGGGGATGTCTGTGAGTTTGAGGCCAGCCTGGTCTACAAGAGCTAGTTCCAGGACAGGCTCCAAAGCTACAGAGAAATCCTGACTCGAAAAAACAAACAACACCGGCAAACTAAAAGGCATATTTATAAATTCCAGTTTACAGGGAAAGGTAGGTTTGGAGAAAGGGTCTCATTACATTGATTGTAGGCTAATCAAGTTACCTCAACTGTCAAAACTTAAGTTTACTCAACAAAATCAATACATTGAACTTTACTATAATTTTTTTTACAATATAAACTAGAAATAACTTTCCAGTACAGTCTATAAAAATAAAACTAAGAATCACTTACTTGATATTATCAAGACAGCCTGATTCCGGTTTCAGTATGGCAGTATGGTGAAACATTTTGTATAAAGCAATCCCAAGGAAGATCACATTCAGCTGAAATGCAAAAGGCAATGCAATGTAGATAACTGTAGTATATAAAAAAGGCAAGCCCATTCCCTGTAACACATGAGTTGTTCTAGGAAATTAGTTCTCAGTAGACTCTTAAGGGAACTGAGTTACAGGTGACTGTCTAATGCTTTAGCAAAGGCAAGAAGCCAGCTTTGCAAATTGCAATACCACTGAATTTTTTAAAAAAGTCACTCTACCAAATACATACAAAATGCAAAATCAGTGGCAGTTTTGAAAGATGCAGTTGAAATTCTGGAACAACTCAAAGCCTAATGCATGCTTAAGAAAACCAAACCCCCCCAAATCCAGGAATTATTCCAGGAGAGCTAATATATTGACATCCTATGAACTATGAACATATCCTGAGACTGATTAATTATAGACAAATTTCATTTTAGTTATTAGAGACACACCTTTTAAATTTTTAAATAGAATTTATTCTTTATGTCTTTCCCATCATGCATCCTGATACCACCCACCTACCAAGTCCTTTTATCCATCATCTGCCCCTGCAACCCTCTTCCCCCAAATAAAAAAATTTAAGATAAAATGGGAAAGAAATAAAAGGAAAGAAGAGAAATTTTCTTTATGGAAGATGCAGTGTGACACGGGGAGTCATTCAGTAAACCCCTTTATCCATTCATCTTTACATGCAGGTGTTCATCATAAAGAATCATTGGTTTGGTTGTAGGTCCCTGGTCTTTGCTATACCATAGACACGGAGCCCTCACTGAGACTCTTCCTGGACACCCCATTGCTGCCCTGTGTCCTGGAAATCCTATAGCCCTGGACCACAGGACCAACACCTATTGGCGAGACCAACACTCAACCCCGGTTCTGTGCCTGGGTAGTTGCTGGGTTGGTCAGTCCGCCAGGTTAGAGATGTGCTTTTAAAGATGCAAAATTACTAACATATACATACTGTTTTCTTTTATTTATTTTGTTGAAACAGTCTCAGTTTATAGTCCCAGCTGACCTATACCATGATTGGTCTTGCACTTCTCGTCATCCTTCTACCTCTGACTATTCTAGGATTACAGATTACAGATTACTGCTAAACCGGGCTATGAATACAAATACCAACCTCAGTCATATTAAATGCGTAAGTAAAATGGATTTAAAAAGCTGGTTAAATTCTGATGCTTCAATAGACTAAGCTGTAAGCAGGGTCTCTCTCGTGATATTGTTACGCCACAAAAGCCAGAAAAATGCCTCCAGCTTAAAAGAACATACTCTGGTAAAAATTAGCTGCACCTTATGTGAATGCCATAATTCAGTGGTTCTCAACCTTTGTCACGCTACAATCCCTTAGTACAGTTTCTCATGTTGTTGTAAACCACAACTGTAAAATTGTTTTCAGTGTTACTTCATAACTGTAATGTTGCTACTGCTATGAATCGTAATGTAATTAGTTTGAGACAGACATTTGCCAAAGGAATAGTAACCCTCAGATTGAGAACCACTGTTGAAAAAAAAAAAAAGAGCCGCATGCTGAATTGCACTTGAACCAGTGATTAGCTTCTACACTCTACCACTGGGGACCTGCTGCAAACCACGAAAGTTCACTTAAATGTTCCATTGACATTCTCGCCATAATACAGCATCATGGTCCTCTGTCAATGATTTCTGAGTCAAAAGTAAAAATCAAATGAAAGGAGAAAACTTTAAATGAAACAAATACAGAAACAAATATCACCAAGTGGCTAAAAACTTAACCTAAACAGAATGCAACTGGTGGGAAAGCCAGTTCTGTATTGACATAAGGATGTCCAGGGCCATCATCCTACTCTCTTTGACTCTTTCCTTTACTTCCAGAAATGCTATTTTGTTACAGACTTATTTTTCGTCTCTCACATATTAATAGTCAATGTGATTGATTTTGGACAATAGGTGTTTCCCGGTGTGTGTGTGTGTGTTTACACATATGCAGGACATATTGATGTATGCATACACACATATGTATATTATGTAGTAATCATGCCATATTGTTCATTTTCAAATCTGAAGTATTTTTAATTTCAAAATATATCTGGCCCAAAGGACTTCAGGAAAAAAAAACTTTGTCCTATATTTTATTCACAGCAAAGAGGCTACCACTTCTTTCCAAAAAATGAGCAGTAGCTTTGTATATTTTTATTACATTTCTTTTTCTGTGTGTAAGTGGACACGGGAGGTGTATGTGGTGGTGTGTATCTATAGAGGTTAGTGGACAACTTGCAGAGTGGTTTATTTATTTCTACCCTGTAGGTACCCGGGATATAACCCAGTTCCTCAGATTTAGTGGCAAGCACTTCAACCTGCAATACCCTCTTGTGGGCCCTAGGCTTGTAATGGTAATGATACCAACAGGTTCATTTAAATTGGGACAAACTATGTAAAAAATAAAGGGGTTATTCAGTTATAAATGTAAAAGGAGGCATGATTCCAGAACACTCAGCTAGCTAATTTTCATGTAAAAATCTTTCTTTAACGTCTTGAGGATTTACATAAATAAATGAATCAATCAATAAATAAGTAACTGGAAGGAATGGTCACGTGTTCGCCTACTTTTCTATTTCCCGTTTATTTTCAATTCCAATTATCCCAAAGAAAAGGAAGGGAAACATGCTGCCGTCAAAGTTAAAGTAATCATTGTTCAATTGTCTAGACAGCTGTATGGACTATGTGGCACTAAATTCTCAAGTAGCCATTTACTCTTGCAAATGCTTTCTTTCCTTTTCTACCAGTTTTGATGAACTATTTTAGAATATAAAAGTAGACTATAATGGGTGTCTAATTGCTTGAGTTATGTAGGGTCATATAAGTACACGCTTTCCCCAAATTAACCTATGTAAATTTAGGACAGTTAGTACACGGATAGTGGAAGCTTTATTTTGTGACCTGGGGAGTGCGTAGTTAATTAGGGGTTCTCACCATAATTATCAAGGTCGCTGGTCCTATAAAACTCCAAATGAAGTAGGTGTCAAGTCGCAGCCAGCATCTGCAGTGAAACACAAGGGAGAGAAGCCATTCAAGGACTGGCTACAGGAATTACATCACGAGTGAGCAAGTGACAGAGAAGAATGCAAGTGGCAGAGCATTCCACGGGAGACAGGAAATATTACATTGCTTGTTCATTTAAATGTTGAATTATGTGTCCAATTTCTGACAACGCTATTGATGGAGTAAGATAATTACCCCTGGAGGAAGCAGGGGGAAAAATGGCATCAGGCCTATTTGCTAAGGCCTTTTGTGACTGTCATTGAAACCTTAGCGAGAGAAAAGAAAAACCCGTGCATATAGCCATTAAACCCAGTAGCTTTAAGCTATCCTTTTCTCTCCAATTACAGTGCTACATAAGCTGTCTATCAGCTGTCAGGCAAAGTGACATTTTCCTGTCAAGAAGATCTGAGGAAATTCAGTACAAGGAAGAAATAAATTTGGTATCAGAAGATTGAAGTTTAATTAGGTTGGGCAGCCAACCTTTGAGAGCTCTGAAGCCTTAAAAAGAGCATTGTTACTGCTCATGCTTCTGGGGTTACAAGTGGTCCTTAGCATCTGAAGAAGTTGATTCATGACCTAAAAAGTAAATTATTAATCACTTAATTTCAGCCGCATTTAGTACTCCCCCACTTCGTAAAGCCCATGAGAAATTAGGTTTCCTTTCTTCACAGTGACAGGAAGACAAAGTGAAAGCGACTAGTTACGAGGAAGATTAATGCAAATATTGAACAAATTATTTGATGTTAAGAATAATATCTTGAATAATTTGCCATTTTGCAGTATTTGAGGCATAATTAAAAAAGGAGCATTCCCACTGGTAAATACCCAATAGCACTTTGTTATGTGCTTTTAACTTATAGTCAAGGGCTTGAATACACTGCTGATTGTACAAATGTTAAGTTAAAGAGCGAAGGAATACCAGAATGTTATCATGAAAGATTATATATATTTTTTCAATAATCACCTGATAAACAAAATACTACTTTTCATCTGATAAAATGGTATGAAAGTTTAAATTAGAGTATAACTATGTTTGCCAAGGGGAATCATTTAAAATACATATTGAGGGCTGGTGATAGAATTCAATGACCCATAAGACTCTGAGCTCAGTTCCTAGGACCATAAAGAAAGATAGAAGGGAAGGAGGAAGAAGAGGAGGAAGGAAGAAGTACTAGTTGTTCAGTGAAAAAGCTATGAAATATATTAATATCGTCTCTTTATTAAATATATGTATTTAATAAATAAAACAATATATTATAAATATACACTATGTACATACTTCATTATTTTCATGGCTGCACACATACATTTGTTGAAAGGATTAGAAAAACCCATTAACTCTTGTTGGGTTATCCCACACAAGAGAGTAGAGACAGCAGAGTGGATAATCCAAAGGCTTTAGCTATATGCTTTATTTAAAAATTACTGGAAGTAGATAGGTGGTAGTGGTACACACCTTAATCTCAGCGCGCAGGAGGCAGAGTCAGGTGGATCTCTATGAGTCTGAGGCCAGCCCGATCTACAGAGTGAGTAATGGGACAACCAGAGATGTTACACAGAGAAACCCTGTCTCAAAAACAAACAAAAAATACTAATAGTTTTTTTTTTTCATTTGGCTAGTAGAGACAGTTATTATGGCTTCTTTGTTCTTTTCTACTTTTTATTTATATAACTTTTATATTTTCCTAAGATGGTTGGTAGCCGTGTTTCTAAGCAAAAACCAAATCACCACGACACATCAATCTCTGGGCATATGGCTATCATCTTTTACCTTAAATTCATATAAACTAATTTTTGGAGCAGTGAGGTAGGCAGACAAGCAAAACACTGAAAATTAGTTCATCATTTCTACCTAGACAAAATGGTTTATTATTTTTCAAATACACATAAGAATTCTGCTTGAAAAATACAATTCATTTAAGAAATTAGGGCTATGGGCTGGAGAGATGGCTCAGCGGTTAAGAGCACTGGCTGCTCTTCCAGAGGTCCTGAGTTCAATTCCCAGCAACCACATAGTGGCTCACAACCATCTGTACTGAGATCTGGCACCCTCCTCTGGCATGTGGGCATACATAGAGGCAGAATGTTGTATATATAATAAATAAATAAATCTTAAAAAAAAGAAATTAGGGCTTAAATTACCAGCCATTTCTTTCTTTGAACTGTTAGTTATCTCTTTGCTCTTATACTTCAACATTTTGTTACTGTGGAAACCATTTTAATTATGTAAAGATATGCTACATTTGTTTATGCTGAGGAAAATTGTTTTAGCTGTGTAAAGATGTGTAACATTTATCTATACTGCATTTGTTTAATTATATAAAGATGTGTTGTATTTGTTTCATCTGCCTAAGGCACCTGACTAGTCTAATAAAAAGCTGAATGGTCAAAAGCTAAGTGGTTGAGGGAGAGTCTTGGCTGGTAGGTAAAGAGAAAATAAATAGGAGGAGAATGAGGGTGAGAGAGAAGGACCTGCCAAGAGTCATAAGCCAGGCAGCCACAAGTCAGACATACATGGAGACTGCAGGAAAGTAAGGTAAACAGAAAGAAAAAGAAAGAGAAGAAAGGAAAAAAAAACATAGGAAAGAAAGAAGGAAAGAAGTAAGTGAGGGGGGAGAGAGAGAGAGAGAGAGAGAGAGAGAGAGAGAGAGAGAGAGAGAGAGAGAGAGAAGTATGGAGGGAGAGAGAGAGGAGGAAAAACTGGAAGGCAGGAAGGCAGGAAGGCAGGCAAAAAGCCCCAAGGAAAAACACAGATGAAGAGAAACAGGTTAATTAAGTTATAAGAGCTAGCAAGAAAGGAACAAAAGGTAAGGTTGAGCATTCATAACTAATAATTAGTCTCCATGTCATGATTTAAGAGCTAGTTGGTGGCCCAAAAGAATGCCAGCTACATTTCGTCATAGAAAAGAGGGGTGTAGTGTTGCTTATGAACAGATATGAGTCAGAGAGATCTAGCTTCACCTTGGCCCTCTATCTTCATTCTCACCGTAAACTAGCTTGTCATACCTTAAAGGATTGTCTGTATGTGAGTGACTTGAATGAATAGAGAGATTTCCATAAATTCTAGGTTCTTTACAAAACTAGATTTTCCTTCACGCTAAAAGCAATAAAGAACAATGCAAGTGCATTTATTTACATTAAATCAGATGTATCCCCTCTCTCCATGTCTCTGTCTCCCTTTCTCTCTCTGTCTCTTTCCCTTTCCATTGTTCAAGTTATAGCTCACAAAATTTTCGAGAGGTCATCTAAGAACTAAACCACATTTTCAGCAAATAATTTTTATCATGTGAAAAATGTGTTTCAAGATCTTCTAGAAAATAGCTTTTCCAGGTTAAAAAAAAAAAACAGCCTTAACTTCAATCACTTTATGAGTGATTTTTTTGGATTAAGGTTGATTTAAAACTTTAATATCTTCACATATTTTATTTAAATAACATAATAACATTAACCTTATCCTTACCAAGCTTGATTTCTTTAGAAATAACAGCTTAACAAATGCTTTATTTTGAAATATGTGCTTGGCTTAACAATTCTCCTTTAAACGTAGAAGGAAAATGAGATGTTATTTTTAGCCTTTAAGAAAATTCTTCAGTATCTACTTGTTTAAAATTATTCAAATTCTCTTTATAAGTGAACAGTGGAAGAGGCAGTGTGAAATTCGCCATGCACTGAGTACATCATCCCTGCATGCTTGCGGTCTGTACTTTACTATCCTCTGGAATCTGTGTGGCGAGAATGCATTTTCTAATTTGATTGCCATATGGCCATACCTGCTGTTGTTTTTGGCTGCATGCTGGCTTTTGCAAAGCGTTCTGAGTTTCATTTCTTTCTGATTACCCACCTTCAAAATTTACACGGTTCTTGCTCTATTCACCGTGCCAATATTAAAAGAATCATCCTTGACTTTAATGTGAAGAATGGTATTATATAGTCATGCTTCGGCAGGTATGTACCCACCCCACAGTATTCTAAACTCTTGCCCCCGATGCTCTTGAGATAAAATCCAGAACCACTGACTAAGAGGTGATCAGAGTCAATTAGTGAGACGCATGCTAAAAGAACAATCTATTACACCAAACACAAAAAGTTCAGCTTATAAGTGGTCAAATATACTTCTAAAGAAAATGGTTTATCTGAAAACCACTGAGATCTACTAAGTAACTTTTACCTAACAAAACTGGGTTTTTGGTGGGTTGTATTTGTATAGTTTTTTAAAACACCTCGGTTTTGTACTGTTAAAGGATATTCAGCTCATTGTTTACAATCTCTGAATTGTGCTTTTAGAAGTACTAAAAGAAAAGACATGACCTACGGGTGAAAAGAAGACTCCTCCTGGCCATATTACCTCTTTCTTGCTCAATACTAAATGCAGTCTAGAAGTCAAAGGAACACTTTTCATGTGCCACGTGTGCCTTGTCTTTTATTTCATTAATGAAACACAAATGTGCCATTAAAATTTTCTTATTGTATTAGTTTTCAAAAGGCAATAACAGATCGCTATTTACATGATGAAGTCTTATTGCATTGATATAATTTCCTTGATTTCAATAATCCAAAGAATCAGTGCTAAGACACAAAGATAAATTGTTATATTCATCTAGTTTTTTTTCTCTAAAATGTAGGACATAGCATTAAAATTATTAGTAACGAAGTTGATATCATGATCCCTTAAAAAGCCAATTACTTATTCAATAATAACTACCTTCACATAAACTCAGAAAAATAAAAAAAATTTACATCACAGAAAAATTAATTTCTTAAAATAACACAAAATAAAATTTCCTGCTTAATTTACCATCTTTACATACTAAACTACAGGTAATTGTTTTATTTATTTTCATACCCCATCCTTTAAGGGGACAGTTCTGTACTTAGGAAAAGCATCAGGGTCACCAACCCAAAGACACAACCAGCACATAAAGCATGTTCCATGGTGGTTAGAACCAGTCACACCACCAGACTGTAGTTCCTTATCATGACCTGGAGTAGTGTCAACAA